CAGGAATTCGTACCATTGCTGTGCCTTGTCCTTGGTTATATCGGCACGTTTCAGGTCAGCGCCTAACTATAAAATACAACTCTGAATGGGTGCGTTCTCAGCTGGTTCATTTAAAATTGAACTCAGCCCAGGGCTACGCACATCTTTACTTAGCAAGGATGTGATCAGTCAACACACAGCTGGCCAGTCACGACAAGTGTCTAGCTCATGCTGGTGTCGCTACAGGATCAGATACATTAAGGCAGAGATCCATTGCTGGGGAGCGATATCATTTGTCTCCAGCATGACCGTAAACGCATTAAGCGTACGGGTTAGCGTGTCGAGGTCATGGTTGTTTATAAACTCGACCTGCTTGCTGTTGGCATCCCAGTTTGACTTAAGTCGACTGATCTGTCCCTTGTACTTCTGGTTGTCCCTGTGATTTTGTTCACATTGGGCCTGAAGTAATTGGTCTGTGCGCTTTTGCTTGATTGCAATAATATTTGCATAATATGCTACGTTATCAGCATGGTGCGCAGCATGGGCGACTTCCATTTTATTGGTACAGTCGTGTTGATGTAAAGCTGTGCGGTCGAAGCGATTAAACTAGACATCGTTCATACGTCTACGGGGGTGTTTATTACCCCTTGTAAAATCCACGGTAGAGGCCTTTCGGTGCTGCGTCGGAATAACATACCCAGTCTTAACTGGTTTCCGACGATTCTCTTCCCAATTTGGTACAAGTGGCGGAGTATATCTCCTTACCTCTGGGTCTATAATACCCTCGAGAACGGGTGACTCACGGCCGGGTGTCAGAACAGGTGAGTAATTAGCCTGAACTTCTGGAGGTAGTGCCTTATAAGGTATAGTGAAGCTGAGCACGTCTGTATCATATGCCTCAGGTGTAGAGCTTGAGTCTTTGGGCGTAATTGTCTGTCGACAATCTGTCCACTTCTGTAGGGCTTCAGTAATGCCAGGGGAAATATGTTTGCGTAAGTGCTGTGTATGTTTTCCTGATCTAACTTAATCTACATGTTCTTTCATAATAATCGCTAACTGTTTCTTCAGATAAGCGTTTTTAGTAATTAACTCACTTATGCGCGCTGGCTTAGTATTCTCGGACGTAGATTCGGGTTTGCTACTTGAGCTTGACTCCTCTTTTGGTTTCATTATAGGTTCCTTCTGAGATTGGGACTCCTCTTTTGGTTTCATTATAGGTTCCTTCTGAGATTGGAACGCCCCTATAATTGGGGAAATGGTTGGGGCGTCTTGAGACGTATCCCTTGTCTCACTTCTTGGCTTCGTAAATGAAAGCTTTGAAGTTGAGGCATTAGTTAGCCTTCGGGCTCTGTCAGTGGGAGTAGTCTCCTTAAACGAAGTGGCTATATCCTTATCTGAAGCATTGTCCTTTTGACTATTATTGTCAGAGGCAAGTACTTTGGCTACAGTGCAATTAAATGCATCAGCAGCGGCGGCGGTTGCTTCTGCAGCAGCAGTAGCTGCGGCAACGCTAGCTGCTTCTCTCTCCGTTTTCTTATTTTCAGCCCTACGCTTCTTAGAAAGAGTGTTGTCTTTATTGGTCATAATTTTAACCTATGACTACTAGCTTGTCTATTAACGACTAGCGTGGACAAGAGAAAAAAAATGTTGTGGAAATTAACCTACATTTACGCTTAAGTAGTCTAAGTAATTAATACTTTTGTTAACTTTAAAATGGGTAAGATTCGGTCTAATAAAGGCGATACTAATGCCTTCGAATAAATAAACGCGTAGGTAAATTATAAGTATCGTGTACATATCGATATAAATAAATGAAATGAGACGTTTAATAAAGTTAGGTTTGCCTCGTGAAAACAGCAATGCTCTGAGGGGGATTGTGAGGCTGAGACATTGCCTACATATAATCCACTCAGTACTGTTTCCGCCGAAGGGATTTTATTTAGTGTTTCGTTGTCGCTCTATTCTGGGGCGAATCCGAGAGACTCATAAAATCCTATCTTTAGAAACATAGAAATAAAAAAGAAAAATACTCTTGACGTCCTTAGTTATTGTCTGAACCAATAATTTGCCTCTATCAAGACTTCTTCCCATCAATCGTTCCTGAACCACTACAGAGACTATGAGAGCCATACCATATGTTCATACATTGTATCATACATACTTGCCATTTTTGAAAAAAATAATATAATCCCTATCAAGAATTACCGACTTAGCCTTCATCAGACCGGCACATCTGGTTGGCTTATCGGAAGATCAACTCGGTAACGTTAATAGTCCCTAGAAACCTATATTCGGTTGAGCCATCTCGCTACCGAAGTATTCAGATATAAATAAAATTGGAAAGTAAATGAAGTTCTATTAATAGAACTAGACCAACTCTTTTATGTTTGGTATTTTACTGAGGCCTTTTAATGGCCTCATCCAAAGTTCTAATATGTTAAATGGAAAAGGTTTAATTAATAAAACCATTAAAACCCATTTTAGGAAACATGTTCCTCGTGCTATTAAGAGCACATTTAGGAAACTTGAGTTCCTTGTACTATAAAGAGTACGTTTGGGAATTTGTGTACTGCTTAAGAGTACGTTTAGGAATTTGTGTACTGCTTAAGAGTACGTTTATAGCATAGAGTCTAATGTGGAGGCCCGGCTTATTACACAGTTGCTGCAAGCTGATATCACCCCATTGATGAAGATCGCGAATCTTGTGAAAATGGTATGGAATGATCGTAACGAATGTCTCCACGACTGGATGACTTATCGGATTGCATGAGTTCTCATCATACTTATCAGTAACGTATGTATTAAAAGTATCATGGAATCCATTTATGTCTTGTCCGTATGAGTTATTAGAATAATTAGGTATATTATTGACATTCCTATGATTCATAGGTGAATCGACTTTTTTTTTGTGATGTCATGTTTTGTCGATATGTGTTGCCAGTCCTGTCAAAGTAGACACTATCGCCCTCGCACGTATTGTTCATTGATATTTTCGTTATGGTGCTTCTAGTAATATGTATGTACTGCGCGTATGTAATACTGTTACATATGTATGCGGGTATTTGTTAATAGTTAATTATAGACTGTGCGAGTTTGTCTCGAGAAATGTAGTAGCTTTTATTAATCAAGTCCTGGCCAATCACAAAGCTTGTGAAGAACACATTTCCTAGATTCCAGTACGTATATTAACCGCAAAAGCGAGTTTACGTAGAAAATTTTCCGAATCCCGTTATCCGATCCGAACGTAAAACTTCTCGAGGGGTATTTTTGCCTTCGAAAGATTGACCTCGTTCGGATATTTTTTGGCTTTTCCTTGAAATTTTAAAATTACCCTATACCTATTGGTGTAGAAATCCGAACTTAAAATCCGAACGCAGTCCGAACCCGTTAAGACTGGGCCTAAGATTGTGCTATATTTACGATGTCGTCGCGGAAGGAACCTGATTAGTGATTTCTTTCTACTCGAGAGTCGGGACCCAAATCCTGAATCCAGAGGGCCATGAAAGAAATCCAAAATTTAACACTTGTCCGCTTTAAATAATCATTGACATAGACTCGTAATCTTGTAGCCTCGTAGGGCGGCGTAGGCACATACATATGTAGCAGAAGGCTATGCTAGAGAGAGAGAATTTACTAATCCCTAGGCCCTAAAACCCTAAACATCCTTCAACACTCGACCAAAAGTCAGTCAATAGAGCTTTCCTGAGCTATGTTTATAAAATGCCCATGTATTTAACTATTTATTTGCCTCTAGATGCTGTAGTGCTTTATCGATTGTTCCAAATTTACAGACTCTGCGGTTGCCGTCTCTGTCGGTGAGTTCTGTGATATACTTGTATGGGTGAAATTTGTATTATACTTTGTATGGGTGAGTTTCGTACTGCACTTTGCATGGTAGTCAAGAATGCCGTCAATCTGTCCTGTTTAGTTTGATCTTTTTCAATCTCTACCGTCTGGTTCTCGCTTTCGAATGGCATCTTCGCCTTCATCAAGCTACAAACCTTCTAGACTATCCCAGATATCATCGTTTGGATCGGAGCCCACATCGGATTCGGTGTCTGTATTATTTACATATAGAGAGTCATCGTCGTCTATTTTCGATATCTCACCATATACTTAAACCCATACGGATGATCCTTTGTGCATTCGAATGAGCTGCTGAAAGCTCAAACCAACTTGGGCTGATTCTGAGCACCACGATACGCTATCTACAGTAGACGATAGACGTACCGTGCGAGTGATCATATGTGGCGTATTCAACTAACTCTAGAGTCAATCTATGGCGTAAATCGATTAGTCGCTGGCTTTGTTTTGATGTAATTGTGTTTTAAATCAGACTTAACTCTGGTGAGTCACTGGAAGTTTGCACAGCTCCAAGCTTATTCGGCGCCCAAACGCGCAATGCTTGGGTTCGAGAGGTAAATTACAGACTGTTGTATGCAGTGTTGCGCGCCCGCGCACGCCACAGACTGCATGTGAATAGTGTGAGTGCAGCCAGTTTCATATTTTGTTTATGATACACACACAGGGAAGGGAGCTTATAGAATTAGTACGATATGGTGGGTATTCCAAATTCTATCTACATACCAATAACTATTTAGTGGAATTAGTTTTCTAATCATAAGTCTTCTAGGCTATGCTCTTATTCAGTCTGCGGACGCCTCCAATGTGCTGAGCGTATATTTGACATGTGAGCGAATGTGGGAGCATTAAACGTGAATAAGATTGCGAAATTCTGGGACAATTATCGAGCTGATGCGCCAAAAAAAAAATGTATTTACAAACTCAGGACATTCGGTCGGTAGCATTCAGCTGACGAATCTTGGTGACATCAAACTTATGTGTGTGAAAATTGAGTACAAAATTGTGCGGTGCTGATATACGCACGACCATTGATTTCCCCAGATATAGACATCATGCACACCAACGAGAGCGTTCTTGTTTTGAGTAGTGAAACATATTAAATATAACACCTGCGTCTATATATATCCACACCGTTGTGGGAAAGAATAGTATGATATTGAGTAGCGGCCCTAGTCTCCGTCGGTCATCCAGCTCACTTTATTCTCATGGACAGCATCGACATTTACTTTTACTAATTATTATCAGGGCGATTTACGTCTATGTATATGATGGTAGAAATATATTTGTACTTGTCTATGAATGCACTGTAGTCAGCGGGACTGTTTTCAGCTTCTTTTCAGTGTCTGTGGATTCCCATCCGAGTCCCCTGCACGCTTGCTTGACGTTGCCCCTGTGAAGTAGATTTTAGGATTGAGAATTAGGATCGTGGAAAGCCAAGTTGAGTTTCTCTGCGATTTTGTATATACTATTGGATACTCTAGCATGCGCACATGACACAAAGAAAATAAAATCTGTTGCGGACATGAAAAGTCAGACACGTCGCCAGTCTAGAACAAGATACGATTATCAGTGAAAAGTCAGAAAACGATGAATGTATTGAGCATGAATCCAAGCAAACACAGAACGTGTACAACTATACAAATCGAAAATCAAAACGGCTTCTTTATGAAATCGCGCATGATATACCATTGAAGGGATTGTAAAGTTCGATAAAACGGCAAACGCTATAGGGTACAAGATTGCTGAAGTGATAGATGTCATCGAACTAATGGTTATTTTGTAACTAAATATCTTCGCTCGAAATACGTGGCCAATTTTGACGACGCTATATTATATGAGCACTGAGATTAATTTGTTCGGAATTAGCAGTCAGTTCGACAATCTAAGTTCATCATCTTGAAAATACAGGTAACTTATAGTTGTAACAAAGGCTCTGATGATTATGTGCTAATGCCAACATGAGGGTCTGTCCGCACATACACATACATCTAGCTCGATATATATATATATAAATATATATATATATATATATATATATATATAACCCTAAATACATACAGACATACAGACAAACATACATACATACAGACATACATACATACTTTAATACATACCTGTATATATATATATATATATATACATTTATATATATATATATATATATAAGGTCCGTATCGACATACCGGTTACTTACCAAAGCTAAATCCTCCCCCCGTTGTATTACTACTGTTTGTGTTAAGCGTAAAAGGCTGACTGGCGGGAGCTGCTGGCTTGGAAGCTGAAAAATACCGAGATACCATGATGCAAGTTCGTATATAGTACCATGGTACAAGTGAGTATATAGTATAATACCACAAGTGAGTATATAGTATAATACCATACTACAAGTGAATATATAGAACCACGATACAAGCAAGTATACTGTATCACAATAAAGGGGCAAACACTGTACTACGATCGTATATCCCTTGTGTTGAAGCACTCAATCGAGTTAGGTGCATAGAATGCATAAAGAGTCAGTTTTGCAAGACAGAACGTCAACAACATAAACAGAATGAATAAAAATCGGGCCAAGTGAAGTAGACAGGTTAAGTATGTGGGGATGCTAGTCACATACCTGTGAATCCACTAAAGCCAGAGGCGGCGGGTTGAGTCGCTATTTGGTGGTAGAGAAGTTCAGACATTCGAGTGCCATATCAGTACAACAACAATACACATCCAGTGCGACCAAATATAACTACCCGACCCAAAGTATCCTATATCCCGGAAGCCTACGACCACAAATAAATGTTTACCACACGGGGGACAATCTACCGTACGATAGTATAAATAGAATGTACAATTATCACCAATGGACCGCCACGACTATATTGTACAGATGATACAGAAACACCGGCAGGTATCGCTAACTATACACTATACCTACTATCCACTAGATAAAGAATCGCTGATAAATAACAATGTAGCACTATATCCACAAGGCATAGAAGATACACAATCACTTGCAGCGATCACCAAAGCACTACGATGTAAGCCATGTATAGATGCCGCAACATCCTATGTACCACAGATAGGTCCCACTTGTCCATAACAATTCCTAACACACAGATACATTCGCATGAAAGGCCAAGTGACAATGTTATCGACGATACTTAGACGGCACACAATCACTACTATCACCACACCCACCTGTGCTGCCGAAACCTGAAAAGCCGCCGGTGCTGGCCGGTTGAGCCGCTGTCATAGTAGTGTGGGTGTGATAAGTAAAACGGGGCAACTTGAGTATCACAGACATGAGGAAGGAAATAATAGACAGCAAAATAAATGTGTGGAGAAAGCGTATGCATGACTTCGCGTGGTATGTGCAAGTACGAAGGCAAATACTGCGTGGTAAGTGCGTAAATAGAATCAACTCGGCCACAGTGTGAGTGAATATGTTGCTGGTTCTGCACGTGTACGTAGGGAGACGTAATGTTCACCGCTATTGAAAAAGATAAATCAAGAGTACCGAATTAGCTTACAACCACGTTGCTATTGGTTGACAGCCACTCAGAAGAAATGTATACAGATATAGCATTTATATTTATATATAAATATATATAAATATTTATATATATATATATATATA